CTCAACAAACTCAATGCAATCCTATATATTAACAATCCAACCTGCGCCAAATTTCCTAAAGACTTTCAACATGATGTTGTCCTCTCCAATCCAACCCTCTACAAAAGACTAACAGGCTCTCTTCAATATCTTACGCTCACTCGGCTGGACATTGCCTATAGTGTTAATCTTCTGTCTCAAAACATGCACAATCCTATACCTCAACACATCTTTCTCCTCAAACACATTCTCTGTTATATCAAAGGTACGTTGCATTTTGGTATACCCATTGCATTTTGGTATATCCAACACAAAATCGAATATGTGTCTCACTTCATTTTCAAATGTGGATTGGGCTAGTGATCCAACCTCTTGAAAATCTACATCAGGATATTGCTCCTTTTTAGGGGATAATCTTATCTCATGGATAAAAAAAAAAACAACACACGATAGCTAGATCATCTACTGAATCAGAATACCATGCCTTAGCTGCTCTAACTGCCGATGTAATATGGCTTCATAAACTGCTTACTGAATTTAAAGTTCCTCAAAATCAAACTACTGACATATATTGTGATGATACATCGGCTATTTCCTTGGCTAACAATCCAGTTTTTCATGCCCGTACAAAACACATTGAAATCGATCAAAGATTTGTTCGAAATCATATATAATACAAGAGCATTCATATTTTACCCATCAATACACTGGATCAAGTAGCCAATATATTCACAAAATATTTATGTACTCCAAGATTTCAGACATTACGACTCAAACTGACCATTCTCCAGAACCTATCAATTTGCAGGAGACTATTAGTAGATAAAAAAAATGTAATAAATAAAAACAAATACTGAGGTGTCCCACTCTCATTGGTTTAGCTATCTTGTCTATGTTGCTCTAGTCTATATATAAGGTGTAGTCGTTGTAATATGATTTCATTGAAATAAGATAAGCTTTCTTTACTTTCTCTTACCTATCTCTGTTTCTCGTCCTATGCCTCATTCCAGATCTTGCAAAGCAAGATCTATTTGTTTTCTTCAAGCATGGCCTCATCACCATCTAATAAAGGAGAAATTATTATGTGCAACATTCAAATATGTGAGTGCGCATGCTATATACATAATATATGTCAAATAAATATATACACGGTGCACATAATATGAATACTCACAATTTGTATATTCTTCCAATCAGAATGCGGCACAGAATAATTCCTACCAGCAAAACCTAAAAATACTAGAAATAACCAGTTGGCAATGGGAAAATCATAACTGCTTTAGTGATGAACCAATAAAAATATTTGGGGCGTTGTAGCTGCTGAAAAATTTTCTTAATACTTTATTTTTCAAACTGTAATTTCAATTTTTATTTGATCAATATTTTTTTACTGATTTTATTAAATTTCTGTACAATTTCAAAAAAAACATAATAATTTCTTCTTAATAACTTTATTATCATTTTTTTTCAAAAAAAAGAGTTCAATATTTCCATTTTTGGCAGTTCATTACTCAGATTCACGTGTTGATGTGGAATGAGGATGAGAAAATCAAGGCAGGATCGAAGGAGAAACTCTTTACCGCACTGCTGCTGTTAGAAGAGACTTTTGTTAAGTTCAGTAAGGGGAAGAGCTTCTTCGGCGGCGATACCATTAACTTGGTCGACATCGCCCTCGGTTCCTGCATTAATTGGCTAAAAGCAGTCGAAATTATGACGGGAAAAAACTTTCTAGATAAGACGAAGACTCCGCGGTTGGTTGAGTGGGCGGAATGCTTCTGCTCCGTCGAGGCCGCGGAGAAGGCGCTTCCAGAAGTTGAAAAGCTGGTGGAGTACCGGAAAAATTTTAAGGCCGCTAGTGGTGCTGCTGCGGTTCCTTCATCCAATTGAATTCTTACTTTCATGATTACATTTTTACGGAATCTGGATGTCGAAGAAAATTTAGATTGAAATTGCGGGAAAATGATTATTGAGAGCGAGGGAGAGATTTCTTGGCAGAACTGTGTCCTGCTAAAAATAAATAAAGCTCTTAATTTATGAGTATTATTTGTAATTTATCACCCCTGATTTTTTTTCCATCACCTTATTTTTTTTCAGATAATTTCTCTCCAAAAATTAGAAAATTTCTTGGATTCCTGCTATTTTCATTTTATTATGATGAATTTTTCGAACATTAACAAATAAATTTATGAAAAACAATAATATGTAAAATAAATTATTTTTACTTATTTATATTTTTTATTTTTTTATTTTTTCTTAATAGTAATTTCAAGCAGATAAATAAATTTCATTGACCTACGTGCACCAAGCATCCATGTGAATAATGACGTCATAGTTATTTGGTTGCTTTCAAAGTAGAAAATTTGCAAAATAAAATTTATATGTTTGTGAAATTTTCATTCAATTTAAAAAAAAAAATTACGGCCTTAAAATTTTATATTTTTATGGAGATTGAAAGTTGACTGGGAAGCTCATGAGAGCCAGTGGCTCAAAGTTCGAACGAACCAAAAATTTGATGAGCACAGTAACGAAGCAATAAACTTTTTATAAGAGTAATACTCAAATTTTTTTCATTCGGATTTGGGACTGATATTGACAGTTTTAAACAAGATTTTGAAAATCGAACCAAAAAATGAATCCAAAAAAGAAGATATTCACGATTCAACCGGTTCGACAGGTCAAACTGGATGTCATAATAAATAATAATATTATTAAAATTTATAAAATGATTGAAAAAAATTTCTTTAATACCTCCACTCTACAGTCCATTTTTATATCAAATTAATCAATAATTCATTGATTTGGTCAATCAACCTCAATTAACTTAAGCATACTTTCCAATCCACTCTCAGCAGAACTTTGTCATCCCCTAGAATTAATAAACAATAAACACATAAATCAAATTGGTGATAGCCATATCAAATTAATATTAGGATAATTTGTTAAAAAAAAAAATGCGAATAGCATACAAGTAAGCAAAATGTTTATGAAAAAATGAAATGAGAAATAGACAAACAACAAGCAGATTAAACGTACTCTATCACAATCTTACCTTACATAAAGAGTACAGGTGCTCTATCCCAACAAGTAGCCCGCTTAATCAGAAGCTTCCTTACCACAAACATTAATACTGCCAAATCAGATCACAATGTGAATCGCTATGTCAAATGAAAGATTGAAGAACTGTCTCACCTCGGACTTGATGAAGGAAAATGCCTGTGAGAAGGAAGCTGGAGGTGGAAGGTTATAAGGCAGAGATGAGGAAGATCCATCTCCGCCACTGATGTTGAATACTTCCTAGTCGGAAGGGATATGTTGGCTTCACGAACGAGCAAGAGAATCGGGGAAGAAAATGCCAACCGATATGATCTGTTGAATGAATGGTAGGGTTTTTTATTTCTTCTGTTTCGTATATGCTTCCTTGAGCCGTCTGATCTTCAACGAAAGGTTCAAAATATTTCGCAGATGAACCGGCCAGTTATCGAAAACTGGGACCAATTTTATGGTTCGGCAGTCGAACTACCGATTCGAACAGTTCTGAGCCGATTCTATGCAATACCGATTTTGAAGCAAACTAGAACCGGACAGTTCACTGTTAAGCCGGTTGAACTGACAGGACTAGTCCGATTTTTAAAGCCATGGTTTTAAATTTAAAAAAAACCTACTAAATATAGAACTCATTCTATGAGAGGAACTTGGAAAGACAACACACGTGAAACTCCATAAGGAGAAATTAGTATAGCAATGTGACTTCAAAATTTGAAATAAGAGTGATACTCTATCGTTAATCTCAATGGGCGATCTATGCCACGATCATAAAGTCATCTTCTAACTAAATTTTCTCCCTTCAATTAAAATCAATGATAAGGAAAAGGCAAGATCTAGCTCATTAGCTTAATTCAGACTCTATTGAAGCCAAAAATCATTTCTCCAGGATATAGTTTGCAAAAATAATTTCAACAAATTACATGTAATTAGTTGCAAAAGATGTTCTACTTTGATTTTTTTGAGGGTAATTTAGAACTGCAATTTTTTTCTTACAAAAGAATGTTTTATTTTCTGCGATGAGCAGAAGCGGATCCACCTATTGCCCGGGGAACAATTGCCCCCATAAAAAAATTTAAAAAGTCTTTATTGAAATTATTTTAAAATGTTTTCTTACAAAAGAATGTTTTATTTTCTGCGATGAGCAAAAGATGTTTTAAAATGTTTTGTCAAACGGGTCGAATCTGTGAACCCGAACCCGACCCGTTTTTCAAACGGGTCGGGTTCAACCCGGATTTTTCGGGCCGGGTGCGGGTCGGGTTTTCGTGTCGTGTCAAATATTGACACCCCTACTCATCTTTTTTTCACATAAACAAATGCCATCATAAACAAATTAAAATACTATGGTCATTAGGTGATTGCCCCCTAGTAGAATTAAGCACATTGTGTAGAGGTGTTATTTATAAATCCCCCCTATGATCATTAGGTGAACAATGTTCTTGCATTGATAGAAATTTTCTTCCCCCATCTCAACCTAGATCAAAGCCTTTTAATTAATTTAATTGCTCTAAACTTTAAAAAAATAACATGCAGTTCAAAATTAAAACATGTTGATGGAAGAAAGTTTTGAAACATATTTCTCTATTATATTCATATCAGTTTATGGAAAGCAAGCTGCTTTCGGTAGCCCTGCTTTGGCCTCCTTTGAGAGGGAATTTTTGGCCTTTTCTATTTAAAAATGGGATACTTCTATAAAAAAATTGGATATTTATTTCTCCCATAAAAAACTCCATTTCCTTAATCAAGATTTCTAAAACTATTTTTTTACAAAAATGTACAGGATAGTCAAACTAAGCCTAGTCTATAGGAAAACGTCATTGCTCACTCATAGCTGAACTGTTTCTAACAAATTGTAATATAAAAAATGATAAATATACATAAGCCTGAATCTACGCATCGTCGTCACTTGAAGCGAATAAATCCTCCTGTTTTCGAGCTTTAAATATTCCTAATTGCTCATTCGGCTCAGTACTCTTCATTTATCGAGTTTCAGATCTGAAATTTCAAAGGAATAACTAATGGCAGCAGAAGATGTAAAGCTCATCGGGATGTGGGCGAGCCCCTCGGTCGTGACAGCAAGAATCGCTCTAAATCTGAAGGGTATCGAGTACGAACTTCTCAAAGAAGACCCCTGCAAGAAAAGCGAGCTTCTTCTTAAATCTAACCCTGTCTATAAGAAGTTCCCTGTACTCATTCATGGCGGCAAGCGCATCTGCAAGTCCCATTTGATTGTTGAATACATCGATCAAGTCTGGTCCTCTTCCGGCTTTCCCATCCTTCCTGCCGACGCCTACGACCGCGTCACCTCTATCTTCTGGGCCACCTACATCGACGACACGGTATGCGACGAAAAAAAATCCTAGAATATTTTGATTGGATTTATTTTGTGATGAGTTTTTATATATTACACTTCTCTTAAATTATAATTAAATAATATTAAAGAATAGGTTGATAGTTTTTTAATCAAAATATTTTAGCATTATATCTTTTTTTCAAAAATTTGTAGAGAGATATACATACATATATCACAAAATTTTTATTTTTCTTTATATCTAATATTTATTTATATAGCATTTAAATTTATAAATTATATTAAAATATTATTAATATTCAATTGTTTACAATAATTTTATGTTTTTATTATATATTTCAATGTGATTGAGTAGATATTTAATTATATAAAAGTAATATGATATACATATAAATCCTTGAATTTATACATATTTTTTTATTATATTTATTCATATAAAAAGTTTGAGTAGTATTTATATTTTTAATAAATAATGTGATAAAAGTCATATAATTAATTATGTTTTTTGATTAATTTTTTTAGTTATTTTTATAAATAATTACATAAGTTGCTTGAAGCAAATTTTAACACATGATAATTTTATGCATATGAGAAAACATTGTGATTGTCATCCTTAACATCTAGCTAATTTATATTATGAGTGAAGGTATAATCTCATTGTGGGCATCATATGATAAATTAATAAGAAAATAAATCATAGATTATAACTGATAAAAAATTATTAAAATCAAATCCAATAATAAAGTTGGTCACAAAGCATGTGAAGAATTTAATGTTATGACGATAAAAGTTGGAGTAAAAAATAATCTAAAACAACTACAAAAATTTCTGAATTATAAATAAAAATTTTACTTAATATTGAAAGCATAATATAAAATTAATTATAAATTTTCTAAAAATAAAATAATGAAATTTACAAATTAATTACCAGAGGCCAGAAATAGATGTGATAAATAAGCAGGAAAAATCATAGCCTCAATATATTTGATGTAGAAAATTTATGTAGATAATTCTAAAAAATAAAGTGAAATATTTGTTATGCAAAAAAAAAAGATATCATAAAGCAATACATGATTGTGTCTAAATATTCATTTAGATAATTGCAATGCCACAATTTGTTATGTTACCACTGGACAACCTGAATGGAAGCAATAAGTAATGTTGAATTTTTAATATGAAGAGATCGCTTCTTACTTGAAAAGCAGTAGTTGCCCCCAACAAAGAGAAAATGAGAATGAAATCTGATTCTTTCAAGCATGGATTATATTTCAAAGTCTGTCAAATATTCTACTCCTATCTAAACTTTTAGAATAACAACATAATTTTTTTTATTGCAACAAAAATAAACCCTCGACCTTTTTCATCTAAGCTTGGGACTGACATTGGCGGTTTTAAATGTTTTTTGTATGTAATGTTATCTCAAGCATGCATGATATCACAAAAAAAAAAAAAAAAAAAAAAAAACATCAACACAAATTTGACTAAATATAGGGTATAAAATAGATAATATAAATAAATTAAGACACTTTAATTACTTGTATAGAACGCATTAAGTAAACAAGGGAGACATGCAAGAGAGTTTTAGATTTTGAAGGTAGAAAGAATTTGAATTTGAGAGATGGGGTTTACTTTGGTTTCACTATATGGATGCATTGGGTCAAGACAACCATAATATAGATAAGTATAAGCAAAAACATCAAATTATGAGAGAGAAGGAAAATTGCAATTCTTATTGCATAAATGAAAAATATCACCAAATAAACATGAATAAAACTAAGATAACAGATACGTAGACTCAAACAACTCATGAATATATCATACATGAAATCGAGAGAGAAAATAGTTTTACGTAACTCCAAGTGAGCAATTTATTAATTTCTCAGTGAGAGTTTGTTAAAATCAGGAAATATAAAAAAAGTTAAAATACAACAACATCAAACCTTTGTCCCACTACGTGGGATCGGTTAAATGAATTCTTTTTCGCCATTATGTCCAGTTAAAAGTTAAATTCTCATCTAAATCTAATAAAGAAATATCATTTCTAATATTTTCTAACCAAGTCTTTTTAATTAGGTCTACCTCTACCTTTTTTAACATAAGCCAAATCTAATACCACAACTTTCTTAACCGGGTCATCGGAAGGTTTCTGTTTAATGTGACCAAACCATATAAGGCGACTCTCTCTAATCTTATCTTCCATTGAGCTACTCCAATCTTTTCACGTATATGCTCATTTCGTATCCTATCTATAAGGGTCAAGCCAGTCATCCACCTTAGCGTCCTCATCTCTACAACACTTAACTTAGCATTATGCTTCTCTTTTAATGGCCAAACTTTTTCGCACCATAAAGCATTGCTTGTCTCAACACCATCTTATAAATTTTTCCCTTAAGTTTGAGGGGGCCTTTTCTATCGCACAATAAGCCCTATGCATTCCTCTACTTCATCCATCTAACTTGAAATTGTCTGATAACCCTCCAAAATTAATTAAATTGGATGTCCAGCATTTGTTATGAAAGGAAACACAAACCTCTTTTATAATAGTAGTATTGATATTATAGATTTGTACATAGTTTATGTCAAATCAATGTACGCACTATATACATACTCACAATCTATATAATTCTTCCAGTCCGAATGCTGCACAGAATAATTTCTCCCTAAAAAACTCTAAAACACTAGAAATAACCAGTTGGCAGTAGGAAAATCTTAACAACTCAGGTGATGAACCAATAAAAATATTTGGAGCGCTGTAGCTACCGGAAAAGATTTCTTAATGCTTTATTTTTCAAACAGTAATTTCAATTTTTATTTGATCAATATTTTGCACTCGTCCCGCGCGAAAATAGACTCTGAGTTCAATATCTCATATTCCATTTTTGTCAGTTGAATTCTCAGATTGGGGAGTTGATGTTGAATGAGGATGAGAAAAGCAAGGCAGAAACGGAGGAGCAACTCTTTACCGCACTGCAGCTGTTTGAAGAGACTTTCGTTAAGAGCTGTAAGGGGAAGACTTCTTCGGCGGCGACACCATTAACTTGGTCGACATCACTCTTGGCTCCTACATTAATTGGCTAAAAGCTGTCAAAATTATAACGGGAAAAAACTTTCTAGATAAGACGAAGACTCCGCGGTTGGTTGAGTGGGCGGAATGCTTCTGCTCCGTCAAGGCCGCGAAGAAGGTGCTTCCGAAGCTGAAAAACTGGTGGAGTTCAGGACATTTTTGAAGGTGAAGGCCGCCGGTCGTGCAGCTGCCGATCCTTCATCCAAATGAATTCTTACTTTATGATTACATTTTATGGAATCTGCATGTGGTGATTATTAAGAGAGAGAGAGAGAGAGAGAGAGAGAGAGAGAGAGAGAGATTTATTGGCAAGGACGAAATTGTGTACTGCTTAAATAATTAAGTTTCTTAATTTCGTAAGTATTATTTGCAATTTTTCATCATGAATTTTATTTTTTAGCTCCAATTTATTTTTTTTCACGCAATTTGAAATCGTAAAGCTCTTGAACTCCTTCTATTTTCATTCAATTATGTTTGAACATTTTGAATATTAACAAATATGTCTCTTAAAAATGATAATATGCAAAATAATTTTACCACTTTAACCCCCCTAAGAACTAAGATTAGTTCCGGTGCTATTTCTTGGAATAGTGCTCTCTTAACAGTAATTTCATGTAGAGAAACAACTTTCATTGACCACGTGCACCAAGCATCCATATGAATAGCGACGTCATAGTTATTTGGCTGCTTTCAAAGTAGAGAATTTGCAAAATAAAATTTATATATTTGTGAAATTTTCATTCAATATTTAAAAAAACTATGTCCTTAATATTTTATATTCTTGTGGAGGTTGAAAGTTGACTGAGTAGCTCATGAGAGCTAGGGCTTCAAAAGAATCAAGTATTTGACGAGAGAGCAGTGGTGGAGTCAGAAACTTTTTATAGTTAGAGCTTTATTTTCCTCTAAAAAATTTAACTCAACTTTTTTTATCCGAACTTGGGACCAGCATTGATAGTTTTAATTTTTTTTAAATAATCTATTAAATATAAGAAGAAAAAACTTACAATCATATAAACTCAAACTACCTAAAACCAGAAGTCATTCTAAGAGAGGAACTTGATAAAATAGTACACGTGAAACTCGATAAGGAGAAATCAGTATAGCAATGTGACTTCAAAATTTGAAATAAGAGTAATACTTGATACATCATCAAAAATTGCTATGATAAAGCACGAAGCTCGAGGCATATTCAAGTTGGAAATTTTTAAAATTAAATTTGGGATCATCGTAATTCCAATTTCAGCAAACTTATAATCAAACTGAATATTCAAAAAGACGAACCTAACGACGCCAAAATCAGTCCAACCGAAGCCTATATAGGTCCAAATCAGGGGCACAAACCACATTTGGAAGAGTCAAAGTAATATTTGTATGACAAAATGTTATCCAAATATAGTGTGCTTATTGTCAAATTGAGCAGCTCGGTGAGACGAAACCAACGAGCACAAGATCGCTAAATTCTGACATCGTTAAGGCACTTAAAAGTTGAAAAACTCTCTATGATCAAGGGGAATAAATACGAGCCATCCGATGGAGCACTACGAACCTGCCTCGAATCTTCTTTATATTTACAGGTTGCGCCACTCATAAAAATATATAAGTAGACCCCCACACTCTACAAGAGGGGGACCGGGGGCTAGAGATTGGAGAGAGCTCTCAAGCCTCAAGAGCTCCAACACCACTGCCCGGCCGCTGGCCGCCACCAGAATTCCACCCGATCCCCGACCGCCGCCGGACTTCAACCCGTCCATGCTCAGATCACTGCCAGGCCGCCGACCGCGTAGAATTTCCACCTGGCCTTTGACCGCCGTTGGACGTAAACCTAACTACCGTCGTACTTTAGCCCTATAGTTGACGGACCATCGCTCAGACTCCGATCGCTGCCAGACTTCCACTCTACTGTAGATCGCCTCTGGAATTCAGCCTAATCGTTATCGGAACACCGCATGGCAGCCATCTATTGTCAGAATTCAGCTCAACCATCCTCAAAAACCCGTCCGACCTCAGACCACCGCCGGACATCCAATCGGCCACTGACTACCTCCAGACTTTTGCCTAACCATCCTCGAACCACCGCTTCATCGTAGACCACCGCCAAACTTCCACCCGGCCGCTGACTACCTCCATACTTTAGCCCGACCACCATATAACCATCGCTCGGCCTCCGACTGCCGCAGGACTTCAACCCAACTATCGTCGAACCACCGGCTGGACACTGACCACAACCGGTCTTCCACCCCGCCGCCGACCATCGTTGGACTTCCATCCAGACTTCCACCATACCACAACTGGACGTCGGAGTTCTACCTAACCACCACTCAATGCTAGAGTTCTGCTGGATCTCTGCCTGACGCCGGAGTTTTGCCAGACAACCACAAGATGCAAGAGTTTCACTAGACCACCGCCTAAAGCCGGACTTTTGTCAGGACCACCACTTGACGCCAAATTTTTTTCTGACCATCAAATGAAGCCGGACTTATGTCAGGATCACTGCCTGACACTGGACATCTGTCGGGCCACGGCCAGACGCCGGAGTTTCGCCGGACCATCGTACGAAGCCGGAGTTCCTCCAAACCACCGCCAGACCACCGACTGAGGTAGATAATCGACAAAATTTGGAGTTCCACTAGACCACTCAATAATGCCCGGACTTCCGTCGGACCACCGCCTTACAACTATGATCTTTCTGACTCTTATCTCTTGCCGACTACGGTCTTTTTGACCTCCATCTCCTACTACGATCCTTCCGACCTCCATCATCAAAGAACTGACTTTCTAACCCCTATCTCCTACCGCTTATGGTCCTTCCGACCTTCGTCACCTACTACGGTCCTTCCATCCTCCATCGTTAGACAACAATCTTTTTGACCCTTGTCTCCTACTAACTACAGTTATTTCGACCTCTGTCACATACTACTGTCCTTCTGATCTTCATCGTCAGACAACGATCTTTTTAACCACTATTTCCCAATGAATACGGTCCTTCTGATCTCCATCGCCAGACAACGATCTTTTTACCACTATTTCCAATGAATACGACCCTTCTGATCTCCCTCGCAAGACAACAATCTTTCTGACCACTATCTCCCACCGATTATAGTTCTTCCGGCCTCCCTCTCCAGACAACGGTCCTTTCAACCCCCATCACCAGACTACGATCTTTCCGACCTCCATCATTTGCCGACTATAGTTCTTCCAACTAATTGAACATTTCAATACTAATTCTTTTAATTCTCACCCTGTAATATGATGTACATTTGCTACATCAACCCATGACCTTCCACCCAAGGAAGGGCCTCATTTGCAATCGACAGCAAATAATAGTGGATTCATTCAAACTAGGCTAGACCCAGTGATTTTTCTCCCATTTTAAGGGTTTTCACATAAAAACTCTAGTGTTTCTTATGAACATTACACCCTCTCTTTTATTTGCTTATATTCTGGATCTTCGTATAAAACTAAGACATTAAATTTTATATTTCTTTATATTCGTGAATTTTCCAGAACGCAACAATACTCTATTGTTAATCTATAATGGGTGATCTATGCCACGATCAGAAAGTCATCTTCTAAGTAAATTTTTTCCGTTCAATTAAAATCAGTGAGAAGGAAAAGGTAAGATCTGGCTCATTAGTTTAATTCAGACTCTATTAGAGCCAAAAATCAATTCTTCACGATACATTTTGCAAAAATAATTTCTCCAAATTACAAGTAGTTAGTTACAAAAGATGTTCTATTTTGATTTTTGGAGGGTAATTTAGAAATGTAATTTTTTTATTACAAAAGAATGTCCTATTTTGTGCGATGAATAGCCCTAAGAACAATTGCCCCCATAAAAACATTAAAAATATTCTTTATTATATGGATCTTTAGGGAATTAATTTGTCCCGCTCCATCTCTTTTTTCACTATTTATTATAAGAGTCTTTAAACAATTGCCACCATAAATAAATTAAAATATTATGGTCATTAGGCGATTGCCCCTAGTAGACTTAAACACAATGTGTAGAGGAGTTAATTAAAAATTCCCTATATAGTCATTAGGGATTGCCCACTAGTAGAATTAAACACATTGTATAAAAGTATTTTTAATAAAAAAAAAATGAAAAAGCTCCACCCAAAAATGGAGCACACTCAAAATGAGCTCAAAACCAATCCCCAAAAATTACAAAAACCAATACCAATACAGAAAAAACGGTTGAAAAAAATCGGGCTCAACAAACAAAGCTAGGCAATATAGAGCAAATAAAAATAGAAAGTCCCCATAAAGGACTCAGAATCCATTAACTAGAAGGCCTGCAAAAAAAGGATCCATTTGTTGTCCATAGACCATCCAAAGGGATCCATATCATCGTCCATAAGGAGACCAAAAAACCCGAAGCAAAAAACAGAGAGTTGAGACCAGTAATAAACCGTCAGCACTATAAGTAATCCATCAATTCAAATACCTTCTTCCACTTGCATATGTTAGTAAAAACCGCCCTTTTGATTTTCATAGATAAGGTAGAGCTACTACTAGCCAAATTCTCAGAACATCTGTCATTTCATTCTCTCCAAACAAAATATATAATGCTGCAAGTAATGAGAAAGTAGAGTCTTTTAATCCCAGAGTTTTTGTTAGAGAGATCATTAATCTAGTCCAATAGTTGTAATAAAGTAGGTCTGAGAAGCATAGTACTTGTGTGAGGAATAAGGTCTAACATGATAGAGAAAGAGAAATTGCACATAACTATTCTAATCTTACACATATAATGGCATCACAGAGCTTTAGGGGTGTAAGCGAGTCGAGTTGAGCTTGAGTTATGCTTAACCAAGCTCAGCTCGTCGGCCAAATCATGAGCTCGAACTCGAGCTCGAGATCGACTTGAGCTCAAATGGCCTGCTTGAGGTCAGCTCGTGGCGATGGATGCATGCTTTTGAGCTAGCTTGTGAGGCGTACGATCGATGTTCTCTTCCACTTCCAGTTCCGATTTCAGCTTCTACATCTACGGTTACAGGCGATTTCGTGTCTGATCTTCCACTTCTGCACCCACGCTTCCGCTTCCGCATTCGCACTTCTACTTTCGCGCCGTGCTTCCACATCAATGCCTACTATTCCTGCTTCTGCTCCGCTTCTGCGCAAACAGTTCTACCATTTGCTTTTTGCGCCTTCGTAGCTTCACAT